TGTGCAGAGCTGACATTTCTCGTTGCCCAGTGCATTGCGAGGGCGCATGAGAAAAGTTAAGGGTCATGTGTGATCGTAGCTGGCTAGGTGGGAGCCAGGCTGGGCCGCCGGGGGTCACAGAGCGAAGTTGTCACTGCCTCGGGGTTCCACATTAGGCTACCTAGGAATGACCCTTCTTCATTTGTCATTTTCTGAGACTTTTATAGCTTATTCTTGCAACCCATGTTCTCTGTCTTTGCAGAAACATTTTAAATAGTAGCAAAAAGACCCGTCACAAAATGGACACTGGCATCGACTGAAGCCTGAAAGCCGACCCCTTATTCTACCAGATTCGAGTCTAGAGCCAATTTTAAATCATGTTTTCTGTACTGATTATTTTATCAGGTAGCTATAATCACAGATTTAAGGAAACGTACACTTTGACGTTTTATTTTAATTCCAGTGAATCTGGGGGAAAAAATCTGTTGTTGCTTCTAGACCCCTCAGGTTTTCTGATTTTTACCTCAAGTCACTTGGGAGAAAAACACATCTTTCTCTTTTTACACATCTTTAGTTATTGGAACTAAAAAAGCTTTGTATTTTTATGTTACTCTCAAATCCGACGGACATAAAATGACCTGAAAACTAGTGAGAATTTGGGGCTGTGTTCCTAGAACATGCCGAGAAAGTCTCTCACTTCCTGCCTTGAATCTGTTTCCCTGTCACCTGGAGCACGGTCCCCCCGATCTCCACGCGGCTGTCCCCTCCACGCCTTTCGGCAGCGGCCATGTCCCCCCGCGTTCTGCCGTGACCGCGTCTCCGGGAGCAAGGCCTCCAGACGCTCCTCAGCCCCCGCTCCGGAAAGCCAGGGCCTCCCGACATTAGATGTCCACGTGCTTGTTTGTCGCGCGCCTGACGAAGGCGAGGGGCTTCGTTCCGTGCTCCCTCTGCCATGTCCTCGGGCTCAGCTAACAGTGCCGACTATCCGCGTGGCACTGACGTCCCCACGGCGCACGTGCTGTGGGGCCTTGGGCGACGTGCTCCATGCTCCGCCCGCAATCCTTCCTTCGGCTCTCACACGATCGTCGTGGAAGTTGTAGTTATTACGCTGATCCATCACCCGAGAGGCTCACGGCGCCCTCATTTACGATTAGACATCTAGTAACCACATCAGCCTGGCCCGGGACCCAGGCGGGATTAAGAAAAGCCAGCTCTTAACCTCCACGACACACATTCTCCGTCGTGTTTGACAGTGTGGATATAGACGTAGACTCTGTGGTTGATAAAAATACTTTTTACTGAAAACATGCAAGCAGTAGAATGTGCGATACGATGATTCATTTTCTTAGGAAAAAAGCTTCTGCCGTGAGTTCTGATATCCTATAAATTTAGCCTATTAGAATATTCCTCTCTTTAATGTATTTGAGTAGTTACTAGGGGAGAATAAGGATTCCTGGAACTGAATTTACATAAATAGATAAATTCTTACTCCACAGTTCAGAGGACGAATTATATGAAACAGATGTGTTTTGTGCCCTTGATTGGAGGGAGAAATGGCACATCTCGGCCTCGGAGTCAGCGAATTCTCCTCGTTATCATTTTCTGAATTCTCACTTTTTCCAAAAATCATGTCAGAAGTAAGAGAGATCTCAGCGTACGGAGTCAGAACCCAGTCACGTGGGCCACGCTAGCCATCCGTTAGGTCTCCGCTGCCCCCAAAGGCCAGTCGTTAAGCAGAGCAAGCCCTTGCGTGCGCATTACTTCATAGGAGGTGCCATTCACTTCCAAAAGGGTCTTGGAAAGGGAGAAGCTTGGTGGGAGTGGAAAGGGTTACTCAGCTATCATATGTATAAACGTGCGCCTATTCATTTCAACAATGGGAATATACTTAAATATTGCTATAAACACTCGATTGGCACTAGTATACTGTAGTTACTTATGTTTGCCAATTAAACCCTTGACTAACTGAATACATGTTTGGTACAGGACTGTTTGGGAAGCAGTCCCTCCAAATCCAAGGGCCGTGAAATTGCTCAGTCCTTGAGGTTTGCACCGGAGGCTGAGCATCTGCACAGTCCCTCCCTAGGCGGGGGTCCAGCAGAGGCCCTGAGCAGAGAAGGACAGGAGAGGGGATGGATCCTGACTCAGGCCCCACAGCGCTGTTCTCTGAACCCCCGGAACATGCGTTCACATTTAATCACAGCACAGAAGCAGCCGGCCAGGCAACACAGGTGTGGCCGGCAGACACGCTGACACCAGCGGTGTCACCCCGGGCTGTGTGCGTCACCCCGACCCCCTCAGCGCCCTGCTTTCCTGCTGTGTCCCAGACTGGCCGCCCCTTCAGCATCCTCGGGGGGCAGGAACCGGGGCACAGCTCCTACCGGGCCACCCCCACCCCGCTGCGTGTAGTGGGGCTCTCGGGCCTGCGTCCCAGGCCGTGCTGGGCTCTTCCCCAGCTCTTCTCCCCAAATGTTGACTTTTAAAAGAAACTTAATATATAGGGGACACGAAAAATTAACCCTCAGGGGCTCGAACTGAGGGGGAGGTGCGTAGTGGGCGTGGCCAAGGACGCACTGTGGCTTCCCTGTCTGCACTGTGAAGTCCAGAGAGTTCGCAGTTCAGCGGGCCCCGCCCTGCCCCGCAACCACGGGACAGCAGGGGAAGCCAGGCAGCCAGGCCGCCCTGCAGCAGGCCGAGGGGGACGGGCTCTGGCTCCTCACTGCCACGTGGGGCCTGGTCGGAGCGCACGGAGACTGTGGCGACTCCGCGGACTGCTGTTCCTCGTCAGCCACTGGACTTGGAGTCGCCGTGAATGGAAATCCGAGAACTGCCTGTGGACAGTGGGAAAGGGGCACCGATGAGCCGCCGTCGGTATGGCGATGGGAGTGTCCTCGGAGGATGAGGAAGGAGATGATGAGGGCGGGGATGATTTAGAAGGGCAAAGACTGAGTGAACAATTTCCTAAGACGGGGGCTTAGAACTACATACTTATAGGTCATAGTAGATCATATTATTTAAGGCTGTTACACCTACTCAGAAGTGACGACAAGTATTTATGGGGCAAACTATCAAATGCCCAAATTGTCCTAATTATTGAAGTTATACAAGTAAACGAAACAGGAAAAAAATCCCGCCCTGCATAGTTCACATATTTTACTTCAGCTGATTATTTTGACAGCTTGATTAAAAGTGTCAGTAAACGGAGTTAAGTATTTTAATTAAAAGTGTATTACAAAGAAATAGTTATAAGGAAAAAAGAACAATTATGTTATGAATGAATCTGACGGCCAGGTGAGACTCTCTGAGAAGGACTAAGTTCACTACTTGTTCTATGTGAAACAGTGCTATATGTATGCAGGAAATGTCGAAAATGTGCTGCTTTCCTATAAATATTTTACTCGTAGTTATCTCCCTAAATAATATAATCACGAAAAATATTCCCTCAAGCAATGGGAAAGATGGATTTCATAGAGAGCTGGAAACCAATTTTAATAAATCGAGTTGGAGGTCAGGCTTCAAAGCCGACAGCTGGGACACATGGCCATTGACAGAGTGTCAGATTTGGTGAACTTTCCAGCAGAGTGACAGCTGGGGCTAATGATCGGATGAGTACAAATTCTCAGTGGGAATGTGACAAATTGGTTCCTGACTGCACAAATTCCTCAGATGTATTTTTTTTCAAAATTCGAAATACTAAGAATGGCACTTTGATAATATTAGTTCAAAATTAAGTCAAAGTATATTGATTAAAACTACATTGTTTAATATCAGCTCCTGAGTATAAAATGTAACGAAGTATGCACATGTCCCAGAAAGGTACTGGGACTCAGATTTCATTGATGAAAACTTTTCTTCTAAGATGCTCTGGTTCCCAGCGTTGATATTAGAGTGTAGGCAGTGGCAGTTTGGAGCGATGCTGTGCCTACTGGGTTTTAAAAACCAGATCATCTTTTATCCATCTCTGTTTAAGAAATGTTTGTTTGGAAAGTAAATGCTAATATGTTAAGAGCTGACTGTTATATATTGTAATTAATCAGTGTATGGTGGATTAAGTTTTAGCTAATACTTTCATAGTGAGTATCAAGCAACCGAAAAGGAGTCTAAAGTGATCTTGTCACATTTTTATACGTCAAAACTAAGACCTCAGATGTGGCGCTGGAGATGCACGGATAGGTAAGGGAAGGAAGCCGTTCCCAACGTCAAGGAACTCACGGCGTGGAAATGGGTAACGGGTAACCGCTCGCAGCGGAGCAAGGAAGTGTTAGGAACAGGCATCATCTATGTTTCCTGTGGCCGTACAGATGGACCTGGGGTGGGGGATGTCCTTTCCTGGGGGCACTTAGGGACAGCCCTACTGCCTGGCTTCTCCCGACTCCTCCCCGCAGACAGGCCCTTGTAGCTCAGACCTCTGATGCACTGGGCTTCGTGGCTGAATCCGCAGTGGGCGCTCAGCCAGCAGAAGGAAGAAGAGGCCTGTGGTCAGGGTCCTGGCCCGTGGGCGTGACACGCCGCCATTGGAGGAAGTTGGCACCGTTCGCTGTAGAATAGAATGGAAAGCGTGAAAGGGACTGGAGGTCACGTGTGCCCCCGTCCCATTCAGAGGGGGAAGGACGGGCTGTGGGGCCGGACGTGCTTCCTCAAGGTCCCACGCGTGGGGGCCGGTTGGGGCATCGGCTCTGGCCTCCTGGGTCGCAGTGCTGAGGTTCGGTCTCCCTGCATCCAAGTGCAAACAAAGGCGAACGCGGACTCCGAGACAGAAACGCGGAGTGTGCTGAAGTAATGTGACATCGTCCCCGGGGCCGGCATCGGTTAGGTCGGATGTAGTGTCATAACGATTTCGGGTTTCACCTCGCAGACAGCAGACCGGGGCCCCGGAGGCTGAGCAGCACTCGCTGGCCAGCTGGAGCCGGGAGGCACTGTGGACCGTGACCGGCAGGAGCCGACTCGGGGTCCCCGTGCGTGTTGCGTCCCCTCCGCGCCGAGGGTCACGGTAGCCAGTGACGACGTCTCTGTGTTTCTAGCTCGGACGTGTGGATCGAATCTGCGCGGGCCCAGCGGCACCATCACCTCCCCGAACTACCCGGTTCAGTACGAGGACAACGCGCACTGCGTGTGGGTCATCACCACCTCGGACCCCGACAAGGTAAGGGCTCCGTCCCC